TATTCCCTACCTTTTGTCTGAAATTACCGGTGACCCTATTCCCGAGGTTTCTGAAGATACTAAAAGAAGGGCTGAGTGGATGTTTTGTCGGCTGGATAAGGATATTCCTTATTACCCTGACGTAAGTTACGAAATATTTTACAAAATAGACCCCAACCACCCCCTCTTGGGATGGATTCCGAGGCGACTGAAGCAATAACATATTACGCGTAATAATTCGCCAAATAAGGTAATACGATGAATTTATATAACGCGTAATAATTCGCTAAATAAGGTCATACGATGAATTCATATTACGTGTAATAATTCGCCAAATAAGGTCATGTAAATAATTTATATTACGCGTAATACGACATGATGATCCAAGATCTTGGAAATAAGGATGGGCTTGACGAACTACTTAATTACGCATATGAACCAGACAGCCGGCGTTCGATATGCAAATAAAATCCTGTCTCGCTTTTTTCAAAGCAAATGTTTATTGAGCGAGCTTTCTTTGAAGCTCCTCTTTTGCCTCCTGGTAGATCTTTTTGCGAGATTCCTCGGAAAGATCTTTTACGACTGCTTTTTTGTTTCTTATGTCCGTCTTTAATTTCTCGTACTTTTCCTCTTCAGCTAAGATAAGCGAGAATTCTACGTCGTCTATCTTTCTGTCACGCAATGCCTTTGAAACAAGGTCGGTAATAGTATTTACTTTAGCCTTAGACTTTACTTTTATTTTACTTTAGGCTTAGACAGAGCTATTGTCGTGTCGCGTTTTGATATTTTCGAGGATAGCTTTTTCATAATGCCCGTAGCAACAGCAGAAACAATACCGCAGGCTGCCCCAACGCCGGCCAAAGGAACCCCTACGATCATTCCAGGTCCGGTAAGCGAAGTAGCAACGCCGGAGCCCGTCAACACTACGGATATGGATCCTGAAGTCATCGCAATCTTATGTAGTGTACTCCGGGCTCTAACGTATTTCTTCCTAACTTTTTCGTAGTGTTTTGTCTGCCTTTCCAAGTAAGCCAGTATTAGATTTGCCTTATTAAGCCTAAAGTTTTCAGCGTTTAGTTCGTTCTGACCCTCCTTGGGTAGATCAGGATACAACTGAGGTGCTGATGGTATAACATCCATTATATATACTAATGTACGACGCTTTTGGGAATGACATCGAGGAGCAGCCACATCACGATAACAGGGACTACTGGAATTGGAGAGCATTTAGGAAAATGTTTCCACATGCAGACCCTAGTAAGTTCGAAAGAAGACCCGATGGTATTTACTTTAACGGCTCCAGAATGTACAGCAATGCGGACTTGGGTCCAAATATAACGAAGAAGGTACCCGAGCATAAAGAAAGGCAACCTAATTTTCCAAAGAATCTATTAGTGACCACCCAGAATTACCCATTTTACGACAACAAAGGAGGAGCGCATGACTTTGCTAAGATGGTTACCTCTTTGGAGATTTCCGTGGGTCCTGCCAGGTTTAAGACAAAAGTCAGAGGCATCTTTAGAGAAACGGCCATGAAACATACCTCGGGGAAAGAATCCAGAGAATGGTTATCAGTCCCCAATATGCGGTATTGGCCGCAGCAGTTAAACTTTGCCGGCTGCTACTAAAGGATGCGGTATAGCTATGGATATGTTTCATATTCCTTTCCTAAGATTCCACGTTGCTTTTACTATTCGTAGGATATTGTTTGAGTTAGGTGCGCCAAAGATTAACCGCAGCATCGAAGCCTTTGTTTACTGCATTCTAGGAGCACAGGTTAGCACTCGCAGYCCCATCGTAGATGCCAGTGGTGCGTCACAGGAAACACAACAAGTATTCCTTGTCCTCTTCGAAAGCGCTGTTATTGAGAATGAGATCTCTAAATCAGTTCAAAGGTATCAACTTGCGGTG